AGGTTTTATAAATCAAAACCATTTAAAGGTGGGAGCACAATAGGTGAGTGTATAGCATCCCATTATTATAAATTTTACGAGTAAGCTTTTATTGCTATTGACTCAATTAAACTTTCAGTTTTTCTTTATTTTTCATTTTATCAAAGTGATCATATTTAAAATCTTGTCAAATTTGTTTTACTTATTAAATGTCTTAACATGTTACTTTATTCTTTTAATTAATAGTTATGTTTGGAATTTGGATAGAAGTTTTGAAATTGTTGAAAATTCATATCCTGGGGATCATCTATTACAAAATTTTCTTTAAAAGATTTTATTATTAGAAATAATATATATATATCCATATATTTATATGTCAGCGAATGATCCCATGCATGCTTGTACATATTTTGAGAGGATTGAATACATAACGCTGGTTACTAACGGCAGTATTGTTAGTTCTTGGCACGCCATGGTAAATTCGAGCTCGCTTGATTATTTCGTGGGCATAGTTCCTGCGCTTGTTTCGTGGCTTTGGCTACGCTTGTTTTGTGGCTTCGGCTATGCTTGTTTTGTGGCTTCGGCTACGCTTGATTGGTTACTTGCCTCTCACGAACTTGTGTCCATGCTTGTATTTGTGGCTTCAAGCCGCGCTTGTTGTTTCATTCTGTTGATGTCCTACGTGTGATATAACGTTCTGTATTTTCTGTATTACAAGTTGTTTTATTATGAAAATTGTTTTTACTGAATTATTGAGTTTAATCACTTATTTAACCTTTTTAATTTATGGTCGTACATTGTATAAATTTTAAATACTTAGCCATATTAATACTCAAATTTAAAGTTTTTTTTCATTCATTTCTTTTAGTAATGCATTTAAATTTGATAAATGGGATGTTATTCACCAGTAGATTGTTTTTGGCCTCAGATAGCACTCCAGACTCTATATTGCCAGTTGAGCCGTGAAGAGCCTTATCAAAGATCCAAATCATGTAAATTTATTTTGAGCAACTGCTAGCTAATGTAAGTATGTAACCACAAGAGTACATGTATGTCTTTATTTTATTAGTTAGATGCTCCACGTAATCTTGGGTTAGGTCCTAGTCTTTTGGGGTATTTTGGAATGTAATTATATACATTGGTGCTGGGGAGCAGACCTCTAAAATGTATGGGTCACTATAGAATTGTTGGGGAAGTTTGATTTATAGTGGAGATTCTCAAGGGAGGGGAAAATTTCTACAAGTAGCTTTGTATTTTGGATTATAATAACTATGTGCTAGCAGATGAAGGTTTTATTCAATGAGATCCTTCTGTTTATAATTACCCAAAAAACGTTAGTTATACAATTATTTACATATGTTTAGGCTTGGGAGTGTGAGATCTCTCATACTTCTGCCCTAGGCACTTAATAAAATTTGGGGTGTGACACTTATAAAACAAGATTATATTCTAGAATTAAAAACTCTGTAAAAGCCATGAAAATAGTGTGCGTAGTTGATATATATTATTGAAATTATACCTCTTGACATGTCATTGGATGTTTACACTTCATCCTAACAACATCTCGAGCTGTGAAACCTTCGTTACTCATAATGTTCACATCAATCATTTTGTGTTGTGATAGAAGGAGTAGAGTCCAAAGACGCAATCCTCTTGAAGCCTAATGTAAGGGAGTATCTCCATTTACATCCCTCTCATTGACCATGTCGTGATGAATCTTTGGGTGCTTTAGTAGATGTTTTAACAGATTAGTTTGTCCCTTCATTGCTGCAATGTGAAGAATGTTCTGACCTTTATGATTCAACCAAATCCAGCATTAGGCCACCTTATTTAAGCAAAAGTTTGACCACTTCAAAACTTCCCTTTTTGCAGGCTAGGTGAATTGGAAGATCGCCATCTGAGTTTCGTTGAAAAGCAATCTTTGGAGAACTTTGTACCATTAAAAAAACTCCATCCATGTAACCAGCATATGCTGCATAATAGAGGGGAGTGTTCTTTTTCTCATCTCTGAGACAATAGCTCTTTTCTTGCATCAACTATTGTCATCAATAGATATTCACGGAAAAAAAAAAATCAAACACATATTAGGAAAAAGTAAGGGTGTTCATGTGGCCAGACGAAACAGAAGCAACTCCATCTCGATCCCGTATGATAATTAGGACAGGATGACTTTTCTGTCCCATGTGCCATCTTGTCCCAATCGAAGGGACATAACTGGGTATAGGACAAGAATGTCCCATCTTTTTTTTTTGATTTTTTTTAGTTTGAAAACTAACTATAGATGAAGTAGAACTTATAATAAAAACTATAGGAAGAAAATAGATTAAAAAAAAATAGAAAACAATGGCAAAGAAAATGTGTTGTAATCTTGAGAATAAAAAATAAACCAACTTAAAATGTTCACTATAAAGAATGTCATGTAACACATATAAAACAACTTATAAACAAATAACAAAGTAACAATTGATAAATATAATTACCAAAATGCTATTACAATAATAAATAAAATAAATTTATAACAATTAAAAACAAAGATAATATATTGGGATGAGACCGGCACGGGACACTCCATCCCGTACCAAAACAATTTTGTCCTGTCCCGCTTTTGTCTCAAAATGACTAGAATGGAGACAAGACGTTGAGGCAGGACACAACTGAATGCCCCCAGGAAAAAGTGAAACAAACATGAAATTAACTATTTCACGAGTATGCTTACAGGTATTTCTTTCTGATATAGCAGCATGAAGTGGAGAGTCTCCATTTGAAATATCCTTGCCTGAGGGGATTGGAATGTCCAAGAGAGGACGAAGAACATCCCTAACGCTTGTTAGGGCTGCTAATTAAATACATTGGCGATTTACAACCATAATCGTAGTTCATGTCCAATAGGTGGTAAGATCACTTTGTTTATGCAAAGATAGAAGGGAACGAACCACAGAAGAATTCTTGCTCAAAACAGCTTCGTGCAAAGCTGTCATCCCATAATTGTTGCGTAACATTATAAACTCTGCTTTATCCATAGATACAGCCTCCTCCTCCTCCTCATCATCAGAAGTCAACATGAAATGTTTTTCCATGGCGAGAATGTTCTTCATTCTGAGAAGGTTCTTAACTCTTGCTGCAACGTGAAGCGGAGTATCGCCTTTCATATTTGTCTGGTACAAAAGCTTAGGATAGTGAAAAGCAATAAGCCTTAAAACTTGTTTGCTCCCACGTTGGGCTGCAACATGAAGCAACAAATCACCTGTGGGAGTGAGATGATCGAAAATGGTGGCCAAGCCAACCTTATTTTCTTCACATAATTGCTCCAGTGCATAAACAAATTCATCTGCATCTGCATTTTCATCAGAAGAGACCTCGTACAACTCGTAATACATAACATGTACCTTGTCGGCGTGAAATGGAATATCATCCTCAATCGATGAACTGAGCTGCCTTTTCATCAGTTCATGCATCTTCTCGTTGCCACGGAACTGTACATAATCAGACTGACACTTCGTCTCTTCCTTCTGCTCTGAAATATCCCCCATCATTTGGTTGGGCATCGATCCGTCATGGCCACATCTAAGGTTATTTCACCAGAACTTGAATCGCCCATGGCAGGTAGCTGACTAGCAGCTTCAATCAAATGCAACCCAAAATGTTATTTCACCAGAACCCATTTAATTATAAAATTGGATCATCCTTCAATTTTAATCCTTACCGTTCGCAGTACTATTCACTCGTCATTATACTCCCGTCATTATTGCATGCAATAATAATACATGTGCAGGGCAATAATGCATATATGGAACCCATATGATCGGTCATCATCAAGATAAATACTGAAGATGTACTGAAATTTTAAAACCCCATCATAACTGGGACTGCCATTAACGTGGAAATGCACAAATTTTCTTTCCCTTTTTTTTTTGGGAATAAAAGAAATGCACAATATCAATAATGGGTTGGCTTGATACACATTAAAAATTGCCAAATATCTGAAGTAAATAAACGTATTCTACTTGCTACTCAAATTTGTCCATTCTTGTGCTAAAATAGACATTGTTGTTGCAGATGAACCCTCTTCACTTAGAGTTTTGGCAGCGGCGTCTTTAAACACTTCAATTTTTCTTCCAAGTTCTCTACCTTCATCCCCTTCCATTAATATTTTCACAACTCTTGCAACTTCCTCTCTCGTTACAATCCCATTCTTATTCTCATCACCTTTCGGCCTCACTGCAACCTTAAATTGCTCAGTTAGCATCAAAGCATTCATCCTCTGCTCTGCAAATAATGGCCACACGATCATTGGCTTGCCATAGACGATAGCCTCAAGCGTTGAGTTGCAACCACAATGGGTCAAGAATCCACCAGTAGTTTCATGTTTTAGAACTTCGATTTGTGGGGCCCATGATGGGACCACAAAGCCTTGACTTTTGGTTCTCTCTGGAAACCCTTTGGGCAAGTAGTTGAGTGGGTCCTCCTCTTGTACACTCAGATAAGCCGAACCAGCCACTTCACTTGGAGCCCTCAATCTAACCCAAAGGCTAGCTCTTCAAGCTGCTCTTGTGATAATGTTCCACCACCTCCAAAAGAGACTTATAGAACTGAGTTTTGCGGCTGATTTTCCAGCCAAGTTAAACACTCTGAAGTAGACTCATTTATGTTTGTCGATCTTGTCTGTATAATAGGCCCCACAGCATACAGACAAGATCTGATTTGGTTTCCCTAAACAGCTCCTAGAATCATGGGATAGGATAATAATCAGATATGGTCAGATTTTATCTCAATCTGATTGTTACAACATTCATGATTAAATGATCCTGGAAGATTTAGGGTAAAATACTGGTTCATGGGCCACTAATAGATAGCCCACTTTCCCGCAATTACACATTTATTACTTTTAGCTAAAGTTTTAGCTAAATCACTTTGGACTGCATGATTTTAGTAGTTGTTTTTTATAATAAGGGACGGAAGGAGTGGTATATAAATTTACTAAAATGCACAAAAGTTTCTTTATGATAAAATAAATTTGAAACATAAAAAAACTTATGAAAACTATTCAAGATTTATAACAATTATTTAATATTAAATTTACACTCTGTAAACTAACAAAATAATGAGCTATATAAAACTGGGGGTGTCACAACTAAGCTGTTTGGGAGAATTTGTAGGTTAAACAGAATCTAGGAGATTGGATCAGAATAATGTCTAGATCGATTATTGAAAATTCATTTTTCTCCTAATTATTCCCGTCATCCATGAGTCTGATTAGAAATAGGAGGTTTAGATGCCAAGGCTGATACACGAGTGTGACAATATCTCTCAGCCTGGTCTCTTTTCTTTCTCTATCTCTCAACTTCCTGCCAGAATTATTCCTACCCACTCCCCACCCAAAAAAAAAAAAACAACAGTTTTCTCCACTCTGGAATAATGTTACTTTGGATATTTTACTTCTGGGTCGTTGGAGGTCTTCCCTGTGATGTTTGAAGGGATTTGCTGACACTTGTGAGTTAACCTGGCCCCTCCCATAAATAAATCAGTCTTGGCTTGAGAATCCTTATCAGGAGATTATGAATTTCTCACGTTTTGGTTGCACTTTAAGTCATGATTAAGTATATTCTTTGGTGCAGAAGGTCTTATTGTAGGACATCTTTCTCTTTTCTTTGTTCAATGATATCTGGTAAAATAAAACCCCGCTTTACAGGTTAGAGCAAATGATATTAATGATGCTTTAGAGGAAGGATATGACAGCTCAAGGGATGAAGCATCATTCGTTTCCTCATACAACCCTGTGAAAGATAATCTGCACAGAAGCTTTGGAAGTTCATTACCATTGAGTTCTTCATCAGCAAGATCTTTAAGCAGGGATCCTTTGGAAGGTTCTCGGATGACTTTATCTTCAAAAATGGCACTTCCCCGACTCTCTGTGGCTGAGGTTGTACATGATTCTGCTGCTGGTGAGCTACGTAAGTATCTGCAAATCAGTTTTAATGAAACTTGTTCTTTTCTTTGAATAGGTTTAGTCCTGAAACCCGCTGAAACTATCTTGTTTCTTAGTATCCTTGATGAGAGTCATATTTTTCTCTTGCACTGAGTCAGAAGGTTTGCTTTGCAAAATAACAATTTATTCTTGCAAACAGATGTCTTATCACCTCAGAAGTCATTGTCAATTGTCTCCCCAACTCACCAACAGAAGTTCAGAAATCCTTTTTCTGCTGAAGAAGATGCAGGAGTTTCCTCTTCGCCAGAAGCTGCAGCCATTAACTCTGCTTCATGTAAATTCTTTGCATTTGTTTTTGTTTTCCAATAATATTTTGTACGTTCGGAGTGCTTTATTAGACGTAGCATGGTATTTTGAACTCGATCATTCATGGTTTGAGATGTGTGATTCATCACCAATTGAAATTTCAAATATTATATTCTATCTGCGAGTCATGGAATCCCTGTAATTGTTGTAGAATTAAGTCCTATTTCAGTGATCTATGAAGAAAATACATTTCAGTCTGGTTTTGCACCACATGAGAGTGAGATTTACTTATTTCCTCAATTTTTTTTTTTTACAATTTTAATGTAAAATAATTGGCATGCCACAGCCTACGGTTTTGATTTTCTTCACTCTGCCGCCTCTTTATTTAAAAGTTGATATTCTCCAAACTGATATTTTCTCCATTAGCAAGAATTTTGCTGTGAGTTAGGCGCTGTAAGTTAGTTAGTTTGATAAATAGAAATATGACTGTTTGTTGGAATAGTGAGGCACATGAAGTCTATAAGTAGGTTGCCTAATTTGGAATTCAGATTATGATTGATTAATAAACGGTGAACTATTGAATTGCATTTTTGATATACTTTGGGCTGGAGTGAGAATTTTGGGAAGTGTGGTGTCTGACTGGAAGAGAGGAGTTGGGGATTATGAAGCGCATGTGGGAGAAATTTGGGGATTGGGATAGAATTTTGGGAGCTTGGGCTTTGTTAGGAAGGGGTTGAGGACTTTGAGATGAAACTGTGATAAGTTGACTTGGATTTTCTGTTTGATTTTTAAATGAATTAACGAACAACTCAGTGTAATGCTAATAAATCAAAGTTTAGGATGGCTGAATGTCAACTTTTGAACAACAGCTAGAATATTATAATTTGCCCCTTGTTTTTAAAGGGAAAAACTCAGGTTTAGGTTGTATCATTTTTTTAATCATCTTGCATTGATTTCAGAGGGCACCTCACATATGTTTTTTTTTTTAAAATTTAAATTAATGTTCAGAAGTGAATTATATTTTTTAAAGCGATAATTAATCTTCGGGTCCTTATAATTTCATTTGATTTTTAATTGGGTCCTTATAAATTTTTTTCTTTTTATCAAGTCCTTTTACTTTCGTGTGTTTTTAATTAGGTCATTCTATTTTTTTTCTTTTTATCATGTCCTTATACTTTGATTTATTTTTTAATTAGGTCCTTTGTAGTTTTTAAAAAATTATTTATTAACTTTGTTTTTAAAAGTTAATTTCATTTTTAAATTAATAATTACATAATTAGACAAAATAATTAATATAATCATTTAGTAATTAATAAATAATTAGAATAATAATTTTACTTAAATATAAATTATTTATAATTATATTTTAATTTTAGAAAAATTTATTATTATAATTTGAATCTTATAATTATAAAAATTAGAATTGAAAATAAATAATATATTTGTTTGACTAAAAATTTAAAAGAATGTTAACATAAGATTGTTACAATAATTTATTATTTTTAAAATTTTATTATTTATAAAATAAAGAATAAAAACTACAAGGACCTAATTAAAAACAAAGTAAAACAATAAGGACCTGATAAAAAAAAATTATAAGGACCTAATTAAAAACCAGTTAAAACTATAAGGACTTGCATATTAATTATTCCTTTTTTAAATCACGTGACAATTTGTGTTAATTAATAGCTTGGAATTTGGGTGTTTTGCTTTAATCAAATGACTTCACATGGTATGAAACATCTGTTATTAATGTCCTTCATTAATGTTTGCCACTTTTGCTTGACTTAATTTGCATGTGAAATTATGCATGTCAGAGTACTTTTACATCTTAAAAATAGATTATTCCTGTTTTAAAATGTAAGCCTCCTGCTTCGAGATGCAACAACTATCTGGTTACCTAATTTTTTGCAAATATTTCCTGCAGCAGAAGGCTTCATTAGAGGAAGCTCATATAACATCAGGCTGGAAGACCAAGTTCTAATTAAATTTTCGCCAAAAAATTCCGACTCCAGTTATTACTTCAGTGATATGGTAATAAAAATCATGTATGGTTTGTTATCAATTTTGTTGAAGCAAACGTTATAATAACCAATCCTGAACAATTTCATGTTACAGATAGGTGGGACTCTAATTTTCTTTCATGAAGAGACAGCTAGGAGATGCCTTGAGGTTTGTCTACAAACTGTGGAGCTTTAAGCTGACTATATTGTGGTTGATGCTTGAGATTTTTCGAACACTATACTATATGCTTATGCAGGTCTCAATAACACTGGAACTTCAGAAACTATAAATCGGAGATTTGTCCACCCTTCTAGAAAGCATTCCCCCACAATCACAAGGGTATTTACTTTTGGCTGATGGAGTGCTCACAGCTTTAATTTAGTTGATGAACTGCACGTTTTTAATTTCTCATGTTTGATGCTGCTTCTTTTCTGTGGTCTTGAATAACGCAATAGTCTTGAGGATTTCATTATTTTCTTGGAGGAAGGTTAGATTTTGTAGGTAGCTTCCCCCCCCCCCCTTTGGGGTCTGTTTAAGAATAACTGGCATTGTTTTGAAGCCTCTTCATGTTGCTTTAGCTGAAAGATTCGTTCATTTAGTAGGGGGTTTTCCGCTTTTTCCCCACTTCATGGTGAAAGTTCATCTGGTGTCTTTGTTGCCTTTGCAATAGAAACGTTAATTTAGTGTCCTGTGTCAAGTCTTCGTGAAAAATTGAAGATGAGAGCTGACTCACGATATCACCATTAAGTTCTTTCTATGTGCATATGCTAATGATGTTGGCTTCTGATACATTTGTTCTCGCTTGTTTTTCTTAGGTCCAGCGTGACAATGATGAAGTTGATGCAGATCTGGTGCAGACAAGTTTTCTTTTCTCTATCCTCATAGATGGTCCAATGTCGTTCTCCACTCCTCACGTGTCAGTGCAACGGGTTCTTAGATTTGGATTTTATGCCAGTGCAGAGAATTTGGATTGGACCAAGTATGAATTTCGACCTTTATTTATTTATTTTTTTGGTTAAGCCCTAAATCACAATTTTCCATTCCTCTATGCATCTAGTCCTTATATTTTTGGCATCTTCTGTTCATGGAACTGGTTTTTACGTGCACTTGTCTCTATGGCTGGATCCATTTTTATCAATCAGTCTAGGCATTGTGTTCATGTGATGTTGAGCCATCAATTTTCAAAATACAACTCAACCATTTTCTATATATATATATATATATATATAGAGAGAGAGAGAGAGAGAGAGACGATATGAGGTATTTCTCACCTTCTCATGTCCATCACAAATTCACAAATAATAAAATAGCACAATCCACACGCAAAGAGTCTAGAAAGTTATTAAGTCTCTGTGATCCTGTCCTACAGAAATTGTTCTAAGAAAAAGGAAGAATAATAATGATGGGAAAACTAGACTTGATCTGAGAGAGACCAAAAATACAGAACAATCGTTGGAGTTGCTTCCTACTGAAGGGAGGACATAATCAGAAAGATGGAAAGGAATAATAATAAGGGATGAAATATAAGAAAGCCAAAGTATTTTTTTTTGGGGGGGGGGGGTTGGTGGGTGTTGTGACAAAGGGCTGGCTGAATGAATGGAGAAATATAGTTGTGAACCCTATAAAAATACCGACAAACACCCAAGTTCATACTGTCGCAATTTTAATTGGTTTGACTGTGTCAAACAAAAATGTTAACACGGCAACTGCAGAACTGGCCAGCTATCTATGGCAGTTGACAACAGGCAATTGTTTGCACAATATAGAAGGCTGCCCTTAAGCCCTCGACAATTAACTGTGTGATGATAGATAACATATGATTATATATATTGATATCATGCTGCATAGCTAGTAAAACACAGAAGCCTGCCCTTTCCTCTGTTTCGATATCTCATAGAATGAAACAAGAGGGTTTAATAGCATTCTTAGTTTTAAAGCACTTTGACCTTTTGAATTAGCCCTTGATTGTATTTTAAGCCATATGGTTTCTGAACCTCAGGTATGAACATCCTCTTCTGATTGAGGGAAGAGAAAAATGTGAATGGATTCTTCCGATTACAATGCACGCACCTCCATCTAGGACTTCTGGGGCAAGAAGTGAGAAACCTGTCTCTCTGGATCCCTTGTGGGGCAAAAAGGTATAAACAAATGTTTGATTCCTTCACAGTGAGCTCTATACTAACATTGCTATAATTTGCTTGGTTCTGTAGCAAATCACGACACCCGATCCTGTGTCTGAATCAAACTTAGAAATGAAAAACATCATCCTAGTATTCTCTCTTTTGAATAAAGTTACTCAAAAGGCAGTTTAATCCATTTGCGTTTATGCAGCTTGAGTAAAGAAGATGAAATGTATACAATCAACTATTTTAGGTTTGTAAGTATCGGTGAAGCTTGATGCACAGGCTCTTTTTACCAATCAGGTGAACTGAATACATGAGATTTTCACGAAACCCATATCTTGGACTTTAAGCAGTGCACGGTTGGTGCTGAAATTCATGATTATGAGAGTACAATATTTTTGTTTTGTGTTCTATTTTTAATTTACCTTTTGTAGTTGGATGATTGTCATGATTCCGCTGGTACTTGATTTTGATTATGTTGTGAATCAAGTTTTCCATTGACTTTTATGGATTTTTCTATTGGGCATTAAATTAGATAGATATGATGCTCCCAAATCATTTATCCTGTTTTATACTTGGATCAAGGCTGAACACGAATGAAACAAACTAGAATTCCACCTGAAACTTTTCTAATTGTTCTCTCTCTGTTTTTTTTTTGAATTACTTAATACAATTAAATGCACGTGCATATATAAATATGTAAATATCAAGTTCAAACTCGAGATTTCATTTAAACTTCGTGACCGGTGTTACTGTCAAGGCAACTACTATCTTGTAACCTTCAAATTCAATAAAATTTGTAGCAAGTATACAATAGTAAGTTTTTTTTTTTTCGTGCAGAATGATGCTTTTTTAATATCTTAATCTACTAATTACTAAAATATTAGGTAAAAATTTTAACATACTTAAAATCAGTTTATTTTTAAAAAAATTTATTTTTTTAGAGATATATCCCTTTGTTGTAATTTTTTAAGTGAAGGACAATGTCTATGTTTGTTAATTTTTTATATTTATATTTATATTTTATTTACATTAATATATCATATAATTAGGTGGCTTTTGTTAAATGATTTTGAGGAGGGGTCCTATAAAATCATAATAGATTGTTTGAATTCTTTAAATTTTTTATCATTACATGAATTTTTTACTTTTAAATATGATATAAATTTGTCATAAAATAAAAAAAAACTACAATTTTTTGAATTTTTTAAAATTGTGTATATAATATATTACATAATAATCTAAATTTTAATAAAATTGTATAACTTTTATTTTCAATTAAAATCAGTGTTGGTTCCAAAAATAAGATTTTAATTTTTTATTAAAAAATAAAACTTTAATTATTACGTAACTGAAGAATGTTTGCATATTTTTTTTAATTGATTTTTACACAAGGTGTAAATTTTCAAAGAAATCAGCTTTAATTTAGTGAAATTTATTAATTCATATTAGTTTAAAAATAAAATTTAGGGGAGAATATAGACGAAAATGTAAGAGGTTTGGATATGGATAATATAATATTTTTAAATTTATATTTGAATATTTAGTCCTTTTAAATAATTTTAACTTTTATAATCCTCTCTTACAAATATCATTCTCTGTTAGTTCCTCTGTAATTCTCCCAAGAAGAAATTGTGGCCACTGCAAGGAAGTCATCAAAATAATCATTTTTGAAAGGAGGTGCGTCATGCCTTATTATAGGGTCACTTATCTATGTTGTTTAGCCATTCAAGCATAATCCTAATAATGCATCAAAAGGTGTGTCACACCGTACTCTAAATCCATTTTTTAAAAAAGGTGTGTCACACCGTACTCTAAATCCATATTTACTCTTAGATCACATGAACTATATATAATTTTTTTCCGTAGTGAAGCACAATTTTATTCTAATAAAAAGGTAAAAAGATATATAAGTATATATTGGACTTCATCAACTAGAAAATCATGCTGAAGAACATAAAAGTCCTAGACATCAAAATTATTAAGGAAAAATCATAAAAATTACAAAATCACAAATTGGAACAAGTTTCAACACTTTCATAGGTTTTGATAACAATTACATTACAAATGACAACACATTTTTGACAAAATATGTGATTTGCAATTTCGTAATTTTCATGGTCTTTTTTGTGATTTTCCCAACATAAACAACAAGAAGGAAGACACAACCATGTCTCAAGAAAAACCAAACTTATCATCAATGAAAGTAAAGCTTTGACAATTGGAGGGATAAAAGAATACAACAACTAGTTCCAACATCATCATCAGGACATAAGCAAGTAGTATATCTTTTGAACAATCTTCATGTTGCACCCACATACTGAGAAAACCATCCAGAAGGAGTTGATGATGAACAATATATAATTGATGTATCATACATAAATCACATGGAAGAATCACATAATTTTAGATAAACATCATGAAACTAAGAGCCTGTAAGTTCATCGGGTGGCTCGCAAGAAGGCAAGCTACTTCCAGTAGAGTAGCCACTTCCATCTGAGTCAGATTTTCTTCTTGCAGCATCAACTTCACCAACTGCTTGGTCAACAATATCATTCCCTCCGTAGAACAAAATAATAATGATCCTAATTAATAAGCCTGCAATTTGACGAAACACGGGACGCCGATTTCTAAGTGGAAAGGATCTCAAAACACGAAGGAATATGATGAAGAAAATGGAAATGAGTCCTATGACACTGATAAAATCTGCAAGCAAGGTGCTATTGCTCACAATCAAACGTATAGCAGCAAGAAACGCAATGGGCATTGCTACAAGAGCCACATAAACAAAGATCTTAGCAAGTCTATATACTCCTTTTGCAAAACGAAGATCACCCAGTGGAACCCATAGAAGAATCACAGAACCGACGGTAGAACTGTACACAGCAATAGTGTTGAAAGCCATGAATATTTTGAACAGTGTTTGATCGGCCAAAAGTGCCAAGCCTCTTTGTTTTGGGATTGGACCATCTGATGAGTAAAACCCACCTGGTACTGTGAAACCAGCAGTAAATGTCACTGTGGCTATGAGTATGGCCAAAAGTATGAGTGTGTTGGCTGCGTCCTTCACATTCCATTCTGTATTGGTGGATGTCATCCTTTTTTGGCCCAGCATATTTGCCTTCAAGGACACACCAACATTTTCTAAAATTGCATCAGCTAGAAACTGCAAGTTAATTAAATCAAGAGTTAATATAATTTTGGGTCCTTAAAACTTTTGTTTATTTTGGTTTTTGTTCCTCAAATTTCGAACTCACAGTTTTAGTCCTTGAAATTTAATCTATCTTAAAATGTTAGTCTCTAGAGGTGTAACAGTTTTGAAATATACTAATATGCCATAAATAATGTTAAAGTGGTGATATAAACTCACCAGATGACATCTAGCTAGATCTTATATAGATGTGGATAACAGAAGAGGAAGAAATAGTAAGTCCTCAAAATGTAATTGTTTAGTCCCTTCCTTTTTTAATTCTCATTGTTTGTTTTAAGAGCTGTTCACTATACTACATTTTAAGAACTTATCTCCCTTTATATAATCATTCTCTGTGTTGCATTTTGAGAACCTATTCTTTTTTTTTTATCTATTTCCAGTAAAGTGCTATCTGATGAGTCAACATCATTACTTTTAATGTTATTTATAAAACTTTAGTACATTTTAACATTGTTATTCCTCTAGGGACTAACATTTTAAAATAGACTAAATTTCAAGAACCAAAATTACAGCTTTAAATTTTAAGAGAACAAAAACCAAAATAGATCCAAATTTCAGTGACAAAAAAATCATATCAACCCCTTAAATCAACAAGAAGGATGTGTTTAATTACTTATAAAACAAGATTATATTCTAGAATTAAAAACTCTGTAAAAGCCATGAAAAGAGAGTGCGTAGTTGATATATATTATTCAAATCATACCTCTTGACGTGTCATTGGATGTTTACACTTCATCTTAACAACATCTCGAGCTGTGAAGCCTTTGTTATTCACAATGTTCACTTTAATCATTTTCTGTTGTGACAGAAGGAGTAGAGTCCAAAGATGCAATCTTCTTGAAGCCAAATGTAAGGGAGTATTTCCATTTACATCCCTCTCATTGACCATGTCATGACGAATATTTGGGTGCTTGAGCAGATGTTTTAACACATTAGTTTGTCCCTTCATTGCTGCAATGTGAAGAATGTTCTGACATTTATCATTCAACCAATGTTCAACATTAGGCGACGGTATTTGAAGCAAAACTTTGACCACTTCCAAATTTCCCCTTTTGCAGGCGAGGTGAATTGGAAGATTGCCTTTTGAGTTTCGTTGAAAAGCAATCATGTGAGATGTTTCTAACATTTTACAAACTCCTTCCATATAACCACAGTACGCTGCATAATGAAGGGGAGTGTTGCTGTTCTCATCTCTTTGATACAGTAGCTCTTTTCTCGTATCAACGATCATCTTTAATAGATCTTCACACATAAAACAAAATATATCAGGAAAAAATGAAACAAACATGAACTTAATTATTTCAAGAGTATGCTTACCTTTAGATCGTTCTGATAGTGCAGCATGAAGTGGAGAGTCCCCATTTGACACGGTTTTGCTAGAGGGGATTGGAATTAACTTCAAGAGATGATCAAGAATATGCTTGTCCCCTATCAGAACTGCTAAATACATTGGCGATTTACATCTAAAATCATTGTTCCAGGTCCAATAGGCGGGCAGATCACTTTGCTTATGTCTATCTAAAATGAAACGAACCAAAGAAAAATCCTTGCTCAAAACAGCTTCGTGCAAAGCTGTCATCCCATATTTGTTGCGTGACATTATGAACTCTACTTCATCTACGTCGTCCCCATCATCATCATCATCATCATCATCATCATCATCATCATAATAATCATCATCGTTGGGCAGAGTTTTCCCAAATACGCGTAACATAACAATGCGCGATTTTTTTGAAGGTTTAGCAGATGTCATGTAATGTTTATCCAAGCTGAGAATTTTATCAATTGCTTGACGATTCTTGGCTCTGGTAGCAACATGAAGCAGAGTGTCTTCTTTCACATTTCTCTTGTACAAAAGCTTAGGATAGTGAAAACCAATCAAACATAAAACTTGTTCACTCCCATGTTCAGCTATGACATGAAGCAACGTGTCACCTAGGGGAGTGACTTGACGTAAAATGGTGGCCAAGTCAACATGATATTTTTCACACACTTGCTCTAGTACACGAACAAATCTATCTGCATTTGCATTTTTATCACAAGCCGCCCTGTACAAATCATCATACATCGTACGTACCATGTTGCCACAGAATGGCATATCATCAACCGATGAACTGAACTGCTTTTTCTTCAGTTCACGCATCTTTTCATTGCCACAGGATTGTGTACTTGACAACATTTCCAGCCGATTATGTATTCTTTTGCTTTG